TAGAAAAGATTGTTGCCAGGTACAAACTTTGATGACTATGATTTGTTAATCATGGTGATAACATGATCTGTCAGCATGTAGAGTGGTCACAGAATGATCAGATAGGCTCTCAAGTTGGACTAGGCATTGGTGTGCAAGAGATCAAAGTGTTCTCTGAAGCTTTCTGCACCTGAAGTTGACAGAACCTTAGGGTCCATTTACACCTGAGTGTAGCATTTTTGCGCTAGTTTTTTTTGGGCATTTGTGGGCGTTTTGTTCAGGCATTTTGGGGCTTTTTGGAGTTTTGGTATTTTTGTATTAGCGAATAGAGAAAAATTTAAACTATGACATAATTTGTTGCCATGCCATAAAAATGCTCTTATTTCTAGGTATTTCTATGGGAATGAAAACGTGTCAAATATGCACCAATCTGCCTGAATGGAACTACAAATGTGGCTCCAAAACTTTTTTGAGCTTTAGGCGTTCTGCGTCATGTGACTTAGAGGGGAGATGCGAATCATCTTCATGGAGTAATATTGATTTTTTTTTTTCTCCCTGTGTTTTGGAGATACGAGGTTCATGGTACAAAACGCTTAGGTGTGATAGGACCTTAATGTCCTCCTGCATAGATAATTTAAATGTGGTGGGTTATGAAAGGTTTAAAATAGCAACACCTGCAAAGTAGATGTTTAATACCACTCTGAATGTGTTTTATACCACTGCCAATCATGATTCTTTTGTAGAAGAACCGCCACTGGAAGGACCTTCTGAATTTGAAACTATTGAGAGCACCAGACTCTTGGTCCCCCACCATGCACTGTGGGGACTTTCACTGGCCCTTACAACACTACTGTAACATTTTAGTGATATAGAGGCAGGCGGGAGAAACCATAGCACAAGGTGGGGAACCAGGAATCCCAATACTCCCAGAAAAGTCAGATTCAAAAGATTCTTTAAGGGACATTTTCTCTGCAATACAGGTGCAATTGGTGGCACAAGCAGTAGGAGAGGTAAGCATTGCACTTACATGTTTTTTTTTTTATCTTTTTATTATAGCAACAGTCAGAGTCACTATAAATTGAGCAGAAAACAACTTGACAGCACAATAGAACAACTACAATAGTAACTGTATAGTTGCCAGAAAGGTCTTACACACACCTGTTACCAGGGGCGGACTGACCATTTGGAAACTCGGGCACTGCCTGAGGGCCCGGGGTCAGTAGGGGGCCCCATGAGATGCCCCTGGTATCTTTTTCATAGGTTTTTTGAGTTTGGGCAAGGACACAGGGGCCCCATGATCCCCTATTGCCCGGGGGCCCCATGAGTTGTCAGTCCGCCCCTGCCTGTTACCAAACAATATAACAAATTTTTACTACAGTTTGAATGTCAGGGCAAAGAAACAAGCATGACTCTAGGTACCTTCAGACATCAGATGACAACCACCAGATCTGGCCACTCCAGACAGTCTTTGCTGAAGTATGCTGAAGTGGAGTGTTTTGTCTATGGAGTGCAGATAACTTGCACGCACAAAAAATATCACCTTCTCTAGCTGTAGGGGGCATCAGGTATAGGCTTTGAGAAATACCACTTTTATTATGGAAATAAGTCTGTCAAATAGAACTTAGGATGGAAAGAAAGTCTAGGTTACAGGACCAGTTTCATACAGGAATGTCACAGGGGCCAGCATGCAAAGCCATGCGAGAGTTCACAGATCAGAATTTGATAATACAGTACGTAAGATAGATCTACCCAGTAGCTCCACAGGCTAGACTGGCGACAAAGCACTTTATTGTGTTCTTTTTGACCTGCCAGTATGTATTTTACATGTACATGTACTTATTTTACTCTTCAATGATTCCAGCCAAGCTCAAAAGAAACAGTAAAGTCAGCGTGCTTACTATTTATATTTTACAAAGTTGGAAGCTTGATAGGGAAGAAAGACCAGATTGGGTTGGACAACCAGTGTATCTCCTGTATCTACCCCTTTCTTAGTGGTTTGTCCTGTATTAAAATTACTTTCTTCTGCTTTACAAAAACATTTTCTGTATAGTACAGCTTGAGTTAAAAATGCATGGTCTTCTAAGTCTCTCCTATGTGGACTAGAGGAATAATAGGAGAGGCAGACATGATTGGCTCATGTCAGAGGAATGGAATGTTCAGGAGAGGGGAGGGCAAGCAGTGTGCTCACACCAGGTAAAATCATAACTTCACAGCAATCTCCATGCCAGCTACTTATCATGTCAGCATAATCTCCCAGTCCACTCACACAGCTTTGCAGAATGAATCATTATTAGTCTAGCCGTCAATCTTCTGGAAGCTGGATGTATCACTTTCCCAAATAGGTAATTCATATGCTAATATAAAAGTCAACAAAGTGAACCTAACCTGACCTAAAAAATACCCATTGCAGCTATACATTCAAAGCTAGGCACTTGTAATCACCACAAAGTGCATGGACTTCATCACCTTAAAGTGGCACTAAATTATTTTTTTATTCTCCAAAAATAATCCATACACTTCCACTGCTTAATGGCCTTGCAATGTGTTTTCCATTAAATTGTTTCTTAAGCTGGCAATAGATGGTTCAAATCTTGTCTGGTTCAACATGATCTTTTGATTAATTTGGGTACAACCAGCCTATCCGATTGTTACATGTGATTTTTATAAATGTGCATATAGACAACACTGACAAAAATGTGAATCAAGATTACTAAACCATTTGCCACATGTAAAAAGTGCAAAAGATAAATAAATGAACAACACCAGAAAATACAACTAATGTTGAATGTATCAGTAAATCCCATTCAAATAATAGTTTCTTAAAAACAAAAGGTAGGTAACTCGGTGCTGGTGTCTTTAGTAAAAGATGAACAGGTGACCACTTCCAGGTGATCCAGGTGACCCCACATGAATTTACACTCACCATTCTTTTACTAGATAGGTGTCACTGCGCTTTTTTGGTTGGACGCACTGTGTACCTTGTCACCAACTTGACAATTCATATGTACCGGGATGCGTTTTCTTCTAATCCAATACACCACCACTCAAAAAAACAGTGTGAGGGAAAAGGTTAATTGCGCAAAGCAGCTGATTTTATTAAACCATATAAAACCTTTCAATTACACTGCACTCACATGTATATGTGCCTAAGGACCGGCACCAGGTACATACAGCGCTTATGGTTAAGATGTGATTATTGCCAATGGCTATAGCTGCTAACAATAATCATTTTGTTCCCCTGGAAGTGATAGTTCCCCCCTCCGGCAGGACACAATAGCTCAGCTGGAGGGATACATACCTTTTGTATGCCCAGTGTGCAAGAACCCTAAGGCAGGCCAAAGATGATGCGATTTTCTTTGCTGCAATCACGGGTCGCAGGAAAGAAAATTATTTGATTCCCCCATCAACACAGTCAGTGTTGATAGGGAAATAGAACAATTTTCTTTCCTACATCCCTTGATTGCAGGAAAGAAAAATGCATCATCTATGGCTTGCCTTAGAGTTCTTGCACACTGGGCATACAAAATGCTGCTTATACAGGCGTTTGTTTGTTTCCTTGGGGGGGGGGGGGGGTTGAGCCTGTAGCAGAAGTTCTATGTTAGGCAGGCCATAGACAGGCCGTTTATCGGCCGAATTGTCGGCCGGTAAATGAAAAATCGGTAATTGCTGGCAGCGTTGCTGCCACCAATGTCCACGAAAAGCGACAGTTTTTCGTGGATTTTCCAGCATGACCGATAAAAGTAAACGAGACGATCCGCAAAAAAAAACGACCGACGGTATTACCCCACTAACGGCATGAATATCGGCCTATTTTCCGTGCGGATGAAAATTCGGCTGATATACGACCCGTCTATGGCCTGCATTAGCCTATGTGTTCATGCACATTAGGGAGTTTACAGGCATATTTTCAGTGGAGCAAGAAAAACTAAACCCTTCAGAATCTCGTTTTTGAGAAAAGCTTTTGGACAGATGTGCCAACAGCATATAAGAGCATTCAGAATTTTCAAGTGTACATTGAAAAATAAGCAGAGAGGATTGCATTGTAAAAAACACTTATAAAAGCAATTGCCCATAAACTCTCATACACTCTTGTGCAATATGAGTTACTATAAGCATTTTTATACTGTTTTTTTTTCTGCCAGAGGTTCTCGCATTTCTTCTGCCCCTAGCGTGCATGGACCCTTACTGTGTTTTTCTGCCTCCGTGTAACTCCTCTATGAGCTCCTGAACCCTCCTTTCCATTTATTTGTAACGAGCAACACATATTATTTGTCTTGTGCACTACTCCATGTACACTACAAATGTAGTCCCTAGTCTATGTCGAGAATGAGCAATAGATGGTGGCTATGTTCCTACATATAGTGGGACTATGAAGAATGAACACAGTCCCCCTCTAACAGGAAGTTAGATCACAACAGCAAAAAAAATCAATAATTAATTAATTTGTAGATTTTGAAGAGGATGAGAGCAACAGAAGGTACTTTTTGAGTTAAAGCTAAAGGGCAGATACTCACTCAATGCCAGCCTCCCGTGTGCCAGGTTTCAGCCATTTTAATTGGCTGACTTGGGATGACATCACTCTTGCACATGCACAATAGCTAGTCATTCTGGCACATAGGATTGGCCCAGCTGCTGTAACATGAGCTGTGTGTGCACAGCTCATTTTACAGTCTAGGGATCCCTGTGAGTAGGCAGGTAGGTAAACTTTATTACTGAGGAGACAGTGCATGTTTCCTCTGCAACAAAATGCCTGCCTGCTCACAGTGTATCATAGGGGAACTTTTGCTTTAAGAATACCTGCTTGAATAGGTTTTGCAGCTAGAGTTTAACCGTTTCAATACCGTGCAATTTTACACCTTCCTGCCCAGGCCATTTTTCAGGTTTCAGCGCTCTCACACTTTGAATGACAATTGCCGCGGTCATACAACACTGTACCCAAACTAAAATTTTATCATTTTCTTCACACAACTAGAGCTTTCTTTTGGTGGTATTTAATCACCGCTGGGGTTTTTTGCTAAATTAACAAAAAAAGACCAAAAATTTTAAAAAAAAAAAAACACATTTTTCTTTGTTTCTGTTATAAAAGTTTACAAATAAATAATTGTTCTTCATAAATTTAGGCCGAGATGTATTCTGCTCCATGTCTTTGGTGAAAATAACCCAAATTAGGATGTATTATTTAGTTTGTAGGAAAGTTATAGAGTTCACAAACTATGGTATAGATCTGAATATTGATCAATCCTGAAGTACTGACAGCCAATCTAATTTCTTGAGGTCCAAGAATGTCAGAATAGTACAGATATCCCCAAATGACCCCTTTTTGCAGAGTAGACAGTCCGACGTACTTCATAAGAGGCATGGCGAGTTTTTTGAAGTTGTATTTTTTTGTCATAATTTTTCAGAAAATGAAAAAATGAAAAAAAAATTATTTTCACTATTTTTTTTTTTACATACTGTCACCAGTGCAGTACAGCGTCATCATATAACTGGCATGGCGGTGAACAGGGACACTGACTGGTGACAGTATGAAAAAAAAAATATATATATTTTTTTTTTTTATTATATTTAATTTTTTATTACATTTTTTAAAAAAAATTTTAAGATTTTTTTTCATATTTTACTATGACCAAAATAGTACAATGTTACCATAGTAACATTGTACTACTTTGGGGAAGTGATCAGTATTTTTTTTTTTTTTTTTTTTTTACACAATTTGCTTATAGCCAAGAATTACTTTGCTATAAGCAAGCATTTACCTGAATGAAATTGATTCATTCAGCTTTTTTTTTTTTTTTTTTTGTGCTTAGCTGTGATTTGGTCACAGCTAATCACATGACATGTGCATGTGATTAGCTGTGACCATTCACAGCTAGGCACTAGTATACAATGGATGGCATCATGAATGAAGCCATCCATGTATACAACTGTCATGTGACCTGCTGTGATTGGTCACAGCAGGTCACATGGTACCAGCAACGGGAGCCGGTACTCGGATCTGTCATCGGCCGTGTCCGAGGTGCACGGCCGGCGACAGATCGCACTGCTGTAGTGCAGGGGATGACCAGAGACTGCGGACACAGTGCAGGGGATGACCAGAGACTGCGGACACAGTGCAGGGGATGACCAGAGACTGCGGACACAGTGCAGGGGATGACCAGAGACTGCGGACACAGTGCAGGGGATGACCAGAGACTGCGGACACAGTGCAGGGGATGACCAGAGACTGCGGACACAGTGCAGGGGATGACCAGAGACTGCGGACACAGTACAGGGGATGACCAGAGACTGCAGACAGTGCAGGGGATGACCAGAGACTGCGGACACAGTACAGGGGATGACCAGAGACTGCGGACACAGTACAGGGGATGACCAGAGACTGCGGACACAGTACAGGGAATGACCAGAGACTGCGGACACAGTGCAGGGGATGACCAGAGACTGCGGACACAGTGCAGGGGATGACCAGAGACTGCGGACACAGTGCAGGGGATGACCAGAGACTGCGGACACAGTGCAGGGGATGACCAGAGACTGCGGACACAGTGCAGGGGATGACCAGAGACTGCGGACACAGTGCAGGGGATGACCAGAGACTGCAGACAGTGCAGGGGATGACCAGAGACTGCAGACAGTGCAGGGGATGACCAGAGACTGCAGACAGTGCAGGGAATGACCAGAGACTGCAGACAGTGCAGGAAATAACCAAGAGACTGCTGACCTTTAGGGAGGGAGGGGGAGCGGGTACCTGAATTTGACAGGGTACTTGCTCCCACTTCCGCGTAGTTGTTCTTCCTTCCTTCTTCCCGGGCCGGCTTCTGTGTGACAGCCGGGTGCCCACTGCGCATGTGCGAGAAGCGCTGCGCTTTGTGAATGGCCCGGCGCCTTCTGGGACCTGTCATGTGTCCCAGAAGACACCGGATCATTCACAAAGTGCAGCACATGCGCAGTGGGCACCCGGCTGTCACAGAAGCCAGCGCTGGAAGACTGTGCAGCGCTGGAGCGAGAAACAGGGGTAATGCCCTGCAGGGGAGAACAGCTGAGCGGCCGGCCCGTATTCTGACATGGTGGCGGCAGAAATACCGGACCGGCCGCTTTTATATTCGCTCCATAAGATGCACTGACATTTTCCCCCCCTTTTTTGGGGGAAAAAAGTGCGTCTTATGGAGCGAAAAATACGGTATTTGATCCCCTGCTGATTTTAGAATGTTTGCCCATGCACAAAAGAAATGATCAGTATTAAAATCGAATGGTAGGTGTATTGTAACACTGAGAGACAGAATAGCAACACAAAATTCAAAAGAAACGCATGTCTAACAAATTATGCACTGATTTGCATGTTCATGAGGGAAATAAGTATTTGATCCCCTTCACAAAACATGACTTAGTACTTGATGGCAAATCCCTTGTTGGCAATCACAGAGGTCAGACCTTTCCTGTAGTTGGCCACCAGGTTTGCACACATCTCAGGAGAGGGATTTTCGCCCACTGCTCTTGACAGATCCTCTCCAAGTCATTAAGGTTTGGTGGCTGACGTTTGGCAAACTCGAACTTTCAGCTCCCTCCACAGGTTTTCAATGGGATTAAGGTCTGGAGACTGGCTAGGCCACTCCAGGACCTTAATGTGCTTCTTCTTGATCCACTCCTTTGTTGCCTTGGCCGTGTGTTTTGGGTCATTGTCACGCTGGAACACCCATCCACGACCTATTTCAATACCCTGGGCTGAGGGAAGAAGGTTTTCACCCAAGATTTGATGGTACATTTCTCCGTCCATCGTCCCTTTGATGCGGTGCAGTTGTCCTGTCGCCTTAGCATAAAAACACCCCCAAAGCAGGATGTTTCCACCACCATGTTTTGACAGTTGGTCTGGTGTTCTTGGGGTCATAGGCAGCATTCCTCTTCCTCAAAACACAGCGAGTTGAGTTGATGCCAAAGAGCTCGATTTTGGTCTCATCTGACCACAACACTTTCAACCAGTCCTCCTCTGCATCATTCAGATGTTCAGTGGCAAACTTCAGATGGGCCTGGACATGCACATGTGCTTTCTTGAGCAGAGGGACCTTGCGGGCACTGCAGGATTTCAATCCTTGTCGGCATAGTGTGTTACCAATTGTTTTCTTGGTGACTGTGGTCCCAGCTGCCTGTAGATCATTGACAAGATCCTCACGTGTAGTTCTGGGATTATTCCTCACTGTTCTCATGATCATTGACACCCCACGAGGTGAGATCTTGCATGGTGCACCAGACCTAGGGAGACTGACAGTTGTTTTGTGTTTCTTCCATTTGCGAATGATTGCACCAACTGTTGTCACCTTCTCACCAAGCTGCTTGGCGATAGTTTGTTGGCCCAGTCCAGTTTGTGTAGGTCTACAATCTTGTCCTGACATCCTTGGGCAGCTCTTTGGTCTTTGCCATGGTGGAGAGTTTGGAATCTGATTGTTTGATTGCTGTTGTGGACAGGTGTCTTTTTATACAGGTAACAAAATTAGATTAGCAGCACTCCCTTTAAGAGCACTGTAGAGACATGTTCACTTAGAAATTTTGCTTTGCCAAATATCAGGACTTCACTTTAAACAATATCTGCTATTTCCAAAAAAATTAAGAATGTGTTAAAAATCGTTTTTTTTCAAGGAAATCGACACAGTAAAAATCTAGATGCCCGTGCAGTGTCTTTGGCAGATAGAACTGAGCATGTGCAGAACACCTTTTAGTCCTCTGCCATGGGCGTTTGCTTTTTAGCCACTGACTAATAGTGAATCTGATTGTGGATTCCTCTGACAGCCGGCACTCGGTCGCGACTACTGTGTTTAATAAACAGCATTAAGCATATCTTCATGTAATCTAATTAGATTTCCTTCGTTTTAGTGATTATATTTTTGTTTCTTATCCTTTATAAATTATTTCTGTTATGATTTTACTTATTTTGAAGGTCTAGATATTATTTTTTTTGAAAGCTGAATGTAAAAATAAAGGTCCGCAATAAAAAAAAAAAAAAAAAAAAAACAGCGTGGGTCCCCCCTCTCATCCATACCAAGCCCTTCAGGTCTGGTATGGATATTAAGGGGGAACTCCATGCTGAAATTTAAAAAAAAAAACAGCGTGGGTCCCCCTCAATATCATACCAGACCTTTATCCGAGCATGCAGCCCGGCAGGTCAGGAAAGGGGGGGGGGACGAGCGCGCAGCGCCCCCCCCCCCTCCTGAACCATACCAGGCCACATGCCCTCAACATGGGGGGGGTGCTTTGGGGCAGGGGGGCTCCCCCCCCCAAAGCACCTTGTCCCCATGTTGATGAGGACAAGGGCCTCTTCCCCACAACCTGGCCGGTGGTTGTGGGGGTCTGCGGGCGGGGGGCTTATCAGAATCTGGAAGCCCCCTTTAACAAGGGGGCCCCCAGATCCCGGTCCCCCCCCCCCCCTACGTGAATGATTCTGCGGTACACGGTCCGCAGACTCATTCACAAAAAAACTAAGTGTGGTGTAAAAAAAACACAGTACAGGGTCTTTGACAAGTCCTTTATTAAAACAATGTCCCCCGAAGTAGATCCAACGTCAATCGCGGCGGCGGCGACCCGAAAAAAGGAAAAAAAAAAAAAAAGGTTCCGCTCCCGTCCGAGGCTTCCAGCCTAGTGAAGAAAAGCCTAGCTGACAGTTCTTATATAGGTATGGGCGGGGCCAGCCGGGGACATCATCCAAGCATGTGACCCGCCCCATGTCACATGCTTGCTGTTCCCGGCTGGGCCCCGCCCATACCAGAACTGTCAGCTAGGCTTTTCTTCACTAGGCTGGAAGCCTCGGACGGGAGCGGAACCTTTTTTTTTTTTTTCCTTTTTTCGGGTCGCCCGCCGCCGCGATTGACGTTGGATCTACTTCGGGGGACATTGTTTTAATAAAGGACTTGTCAAAGACCCTGTACTGTGTTTTTTTTACACCACACTTAGTTTTTTTGTGAATGAGTCTGCGGACCGTGTACCGCAGAATCATTCACGTAGGGGGGGGGGGGGACCGGGATCTGGGGGCCCCCTTGTTAAAGGGGGCTTCCAGATTCTGATAAGCCCCCCGCCCGCAGACCCCCACAACCACCGGCCAGGGTTGTGGGGAAGAGGCCCTTGTCCTCATCAACATGGGGACAAGGTGCTTTGGGGGGGGGGCCCCCCCTGCCCCAAAGCACCCCCCCCATGTTGAGGGCATGTGGCCTGGTATGGTTCAGGAGGGGGGGGGGCGCTCGCTCGTCCCCCCCCTTTCCTGACCTGCCGGGCTGCATGCTCGGATAAGGTGGGTCTGGTATGGATATTGAGGGGGACCCACGCTGTTTTTTTTTTTAATTTCAGCGTGGAGTTCCCCCTAAATATCCATACCAGATCCGAAGGGCTTGGTACAGATGGGAGGGGGGACCCCACGCCAGTTATTTAAAAAACAGTTTCTAATTCCCCGGAAATACTTTGACATTCAACTGTCAGTGGGGAACCCCGCCGACAGCTGAAACATGAGCGCTGCATTGTTTTTCACTACTAAAACGCCGCATGAGTTGATAACATAACTCATGCGGGATTTTAGAAGCGACAGCCATGTGTTAATGTTTCAGCTCAGCTGTCAGCGGGGTTCCCCACTGACAGCTGAATGTAAAATAATTCCCTTTATAGCATAAAAAATAATAATAAAAAACAGCGTGGGGTCCCCCCTCCCATCTGTACCAAGCCCTTCGGATCTGGTATGGATATTAAAGGGGGAACTCCACGTCGAAATTAAAAAAAAAAAACAGCGTGGGTCCCCCTCAATATCCAGCAACCAACCCAACCAAACCTTTATCCGAGCATGCAGCCCGGCAGGTCAGGGAAGGGGGGGGGGACGAGCGAGCACACCCCCCCCCCTCCTGAACCATACCAGGCCACATGCCCTCAACATGGGGGGGTAATTTTGGGGCAGAGGGGCTCCCCCCCCCAAAGCACCTTGTCCCCATGTTGATGAGGACAAGGGCCTCTTCCCCACAACCCTGGCCGGTGGTTGTGGGGGTCTGCGGGCGGGGGGCTTATCAGAATCTGGAAGCCCCCTTTAACAAGGGGCCCCCAGATCCCGCGGCCCCCCCCCCTACGTGAATGATGTATGCGGTACATTGTCCGCAGACTCATTCACAAAGTTGGCTAAGTGTGGTGTAAAAAAAACACAGTACAGGGTCTTTGACAAAGTCCTTTATTAAAACAATGTCCCAAAAAGTAGATCAAACGTCATCCGGCCGGCGGCGACCCGAAAAAAGGAAAAAAAAAAAAAAAAGGTTCCGCTCCCGTCCAAGGTTTTCCAGCCTAGTGAAGAAAAAAGCCTAGCTGACTTTTTTTATCCACACATAGTGTTGCGTGTTCTTCCCGAACAACTCTCATATAGGTATGGGGCGGGGCCAGCCGGGAACAGCCACATGTGACATGGGGCGGGTCACTGGGATGATGTCCCCGGCTGGCCCCGCCCATACCTATATAAGAACTGTCAGCTAGGCTTTTCTTCACTAGGCTGGAAGCCTCGACGGGAGCGGAACCTTTTTTTTTTTTTT